GAGGAAGGAGTAAATAAATACCAAGTATGTTTTAAATACACATCAAACATACGTAAATACACATCAAACATAAATACACATCAAACACACATAAATATACGTAGTCTAAACAAAAGGCAAAATTAGCATATAAAGAAAAACGTAAAAACATGTAAACAATTAAGATCATCTTTATTTCTAAATTGAAAGTTACGACTTTCTACAAAGCAACTTTTCTTGCTCTTTCTGTACAGGCTTATACAGCAAACTCCCAATTGAACTGCCCCATAAAATTGTGTTGAGTCGTCCGGGTTGGCCCGGCCCCTCACCTTTTCTAGCTACGATATTGTTCACAATCTAACAGAATCACTGGGCTGGGTGATAAACATCACGTTTTATATACTAGTGTTAATGTAATCTTAGACAAAACTAAAAGAGATCTATCTATGATGATCACCAAGGAATTAGCTTCTTTAACTCCTGTTCCGAGAGAACGTTAAATTATTCACGATGACACAACTGAACGTTTTCTTTAAATGAATTTCCGTTGACTCCTGAGATGAGAAGTATGAAGATGTTGATTAAAAATATTATTTGTGTAATATGGGATTAAAATTTATAGTTGATTCGTTTCAACGTTCAGTTTTTGACAAATTCGTAGATGTAATTTTCCATTACATTTGTGGATGTAAAATAAATGAATTGCCGATGGCGTGATAGACGCAGAAAACAGACTTTTTCAATGTAATGTTCTTTGGGGATGACATGAAACTATTTCTTTCTGCGATCGGTGCCATCGTCAGATACTTTGATGACATGTTAATAAGATGCAAAAACCTTTCACAAAAAGAGTGGATATCTGGGTAAACCATTCCCTTATTAATGCTTTTCCAGATCCGTCCGACAATATATATATATATATATATATATATATATATATATATATATATATATATATATATGATATATGATATGATATGCATATATCTGAATACATAGGATACAGTAAGTTAATTTTTATAGCTAATTTATAAATTGAATTTAAATTTAGTTATGTTAAAACTTAGTTATCTGCCATGCGTTAAACCCGCTTAGGCGATCATGTATCTTTCGATGCATGACTGACGAGGCAGATTTTTTTCCCACTGTAGGTTGCCATTTCTTTCTGCGGTAGAACAATTGCCATCTAAGGCTATAGAATCCGGTCTGTCCTGCTATTTACCAATAGCTGGGGCGGAGAAGAAGAGGATTTATACCATTCCCAAGGTACCTAAGTGAATTTCAGTTAGTTATGTGCCATGCGTGGTACACGCTTAGGCGATTATGTATCTTTCGATACATGACTGACGAGGCAGATTTTTTTACCCACAGTAGGTTGCCGTTTCTTTCTGCGGTAGACCAGTTGACATCCAAGGCTATAGAACCAGGTTTACCCATAGCTGGGGGGAGAAGAAGAGGATTCATATCTTTCCCAAGGGTATTAGCAAGTAATTCGACTGGAATTCGAACTCGGCTCTCCGATTCCTCAATTCGGGCCGCTACCCATTTCTCCACCATGATTCCAGTGGAGTATGGCACATAACTAATTATAAAACTGGTAAAATTTAGAAACAAATTTAGTTTTAAAAGTGTTAGTATGTTATGGTAAATTTAACCCTTTGATTAGCACTCTCTGCATTTAGGGATGCAAATGAAAATGCCGAATTATAGAATCAAATGTTGCTTTTGAAGTTTCGATATTGTATATTGTTCTGCGTTGTTCACTAATTCCTGTGATAAGTGATGTCCATCCACTTCTGAATTTTATTTCAAGAGCAAGTTACTACACTTAAAACACTTAATCTAGTCTTCGTCATCTCGATCTAATATTGTTTCATTTCTTTCCATTTCACAAATTCTGCGATCAGATTCAACAATTCTAAGGCCCAGATTTAAATTTGCCATATCATTTATAGTAACCGACTTTATAACAATTAATATGAAAATGTCTCCTATTGATAATGATATGATATACGCAGTTAGCGCGGGAAAATTTTGAACTTGACCTACTTTCCAAAATCAGACAAAGCATCAGAATTTTAGGAAGGGTTTCTTGGTCGGGGCAAGAATTATTCTGCACTTCCACGTAATAATAATAATAATATAGTGGCGTCATAATTTTTATGAGTATATGAAGGAAGCTTTTAAAAAGAATAGAAATAATAAGAGAAAAAGATTTCAAATCTTTTATCCTCTCTCTTCAGAGGTGTTTTTAGAGGCGTTAACGAAAAGTGAAATTTTCAAAGTAACAAACATTTATTAAAAATGACAAAATATTTTTACAATATACAAATAGAACAAAATACAACATAGGCCTTGTACAAAATTTCTCTTGTAAGCCTAAAATTACCAAGGCAGATTACTAGTTCTCTTTGCCTCGAAAACAACAGCTCATGGACATTTTTTTCCCTTAACAACAGGGAATTTTAGTTATTTTTTTTTAGAACAGAAGTTCACGTAAATCATTTTCAGCAAAAAAAAAAAAAAAAAATACTTCGAAAAGTTTGAAAGTGTCAATGGCTGACAATTGAAAGTCGGAAACCGAAGTTGATGAGAATGGAAGACTTAGCTCAAGTGATGCTTCTTCTGGGTATTTTAATAAGATATTCTGACTTCAATAAAACGTCCACATTTGAGATAACATCTCAGGTTTAGAAAGGACATTTGCATGAGATAAAAAATCTCTGTTTTGAAAGACATTCTTCGTAAAGAGAATTCTCGTTGGTTCTTAAGGATTCTTTCGTTTTCAACAACAGCAGCAGCAGCAGCAACAGTAGTAGTAGGAGGAGCAGCAGCAACAGTCTTTATAATTCCAGTTCACAACTTTCTCGCCCCTAAGTGATTTTTTTATTTCCTTCCATATGACAGCCTTTACTCAAGATGGTCAATCCTTTCTCCTCGATGGCAGACTTTACACGCCTGAGACGGTCAATCCTTTTTGATTTTGCAATCAAAATTTCTCCTTTTCTATAGCAAAGAGATAAACTCCAACCAGATCCAAAACTAATTCCTTGGTGTGCTTATACATTTTATCCTCGTTGGTTAAAACTCAAGAGTCACTATCCAATCAGATTAAGCCCGTTTGCAACTTAAATGTCAAAGTTTAGCCTATATTTTAAAAACGATGACGCAGAATGGCTTCATTTTATCCCCGTTATTTTTTTCAAATCTTTATTCACTTTTTTTTTTATAAATCGTCTAACTTCATTTTGGTGGTTTTTGTAATATCAGATTGGATTGCAAATTTTGCACGTCAATTTTTATTCGTGTTTTTTTTTTTTTTTTTTTAATAACCCGTCTGTCTTTAATTCTAGGTTTTACCTTTTCAAAGAAACCATGTCAGTTTTCTTAATTAGTTTTTCATATAATTTAATATTATCTCTTTTTTTTGTTATTAAAAATAACTTTTATATTAATTTTTACTCATTCCAACATTTTCTTAGTTTTATTTTAATATTATCTTTTTTAAAAATTAATCTTTATACTTTAGAGAATAGGTTTAAAAAACGAAAATATTTTTATACACTCTAGTATTTCAAATTCCTGTTCTAATGAATCAATTTCTGCATTTGTTAAGTAAAAGACAACCGAAGAGCCTACTATTCTATAAAAGTAGTTCTTAAGGGCAACTAATTAGCGTTTCGTTCTCTTGTCCTTATCATCTCCTTGTTGTGTTTCTACTACATATTAACAACACACCATAATTATGTAATCTTTACCGAACCTTACACTGATCTCTTCTCGAAAAATCTTGTCTACTATACAAGGGTATCATAAATACTTGATCATTATCTTTAACGTATTGTATTGTATTCATTACGATAAATAATATAATGTGTATCTATTCCTTCACAAACCTTATCGTGTCATATATTTCATACATAAATACCATTATGTATTCTATTTTTATGTATCGCATCTCTTCTGGACGTGGCTGATTATGGTTCTTCACAACATCTTATCATTCGTAGCTCTTAACAATATTTGTCTTTTTATTATATTTCCCACTCTTTGATGTGTTATCGATTTTCATAACCTCTTTAGGGAGGTTACTTACCTTTTCCCCTTTCTCTGTTACCATCATGGCATCTGAGTGTCAAATTCTCCAAACCTTCTTTTCTCATTATGTGTCCCAGATATTTCAGTTGTGTGTTTCTGATTCAAAATAGAACGTCTTTTTTATTTTCATTTTAATTCTTGTATTATAAATTTTGATAATCAAAATGTAATTATTTCTGCAATGCTATTTCTTTGCTGTGGCCATTTAACTTTCGCAATGTTATATTCTACTGTTTTTCGGAATTTTAATTTTCTTTCGACTAGAATGTTAAATTAAAACCGATAAGGTCTTAAAGACATTTTATTGCTTGAAACAGTAAAAAGAAAAGAAACATGAAACATCAGGTTACGAAAATTGTGAGAGAAAATAAGGCAGACACGGCCAGCTGTTAGATTAAAACTAAAAGTTTTAATCAAACATCCAGGGTCGGGTTTAGATAAAGAGAGGCCCTAGGCTATTCCACTTGTAAGGCCTCTCCAAATCTACCACCCGGAAGAGTGTTAAATTAAACAATTTTAGTAAGGCCGAGGATGATGACGGGTATTTAAAATTTTCAGATCGTTTATTTGGAGTCTACAATGCGTTCTGACAACATATGTAAGAAAGGTCTATGGCAATATCAAAAATGTTATACACTTTGGTTGGAGATTTTGAGGCTCCAGGCTTCATCCTGTTAAGCCTATAGGTAAATCCAGTACAGCTGGATGCGTCTTCTTTATTTTTAATATAAAACTCAAGAAAATTCTACTAAAAGAATTAGGATGTTCTACGGATTTGTTGCAAAATGCGTACATTGAACTAAAGGATATAAACTGTAATTAACAGAGAAATTCAATAATTTTTATGAGTAAACTCGAGAGTGAAATAATTTCGGATAAATAATTCATTTTTTATGCGCTTGTGTGTGCGCGTTACTTATTGACTATCGAATGAATAGAAAACGATCGATGCAGGAAAATATAAACGGATAAATAAAAATGTGAAATATGAAAGATAGATAAATTATAAATAGGCTGGGATAGATAGATAGATAGATAGATAGATAGATAGATAGATAGATAGATAGATAGAGATAGCTAGTTAGATAACAAGCTTGATAGAGATAGATAAAATAGACAGATAGATAGATAGATATATATAGAGAGAGACAAAGAGAGAAGGGAGATAGATAGATATAGATAATTAGAGATAGATAGATAGATAGATAGATAGATAGATAGATAGATAGATAGATAGATAGATAGATAAAGAGAGAGGGGAGTGTGATAGACAGATATAGGTAAATATACATAGATAGATAGATAGATAGATAGATAGATAGATAGATAGATAGAAACAGAGAAGGGAGGGAGACAAACAGATATAGAGAGAGATAGATAAAAATAGATGGATAGAGAGAGAGAAAGGGACAAAGAGAGAGGAGAGAGAGAAATAGCTATAGATAATTATAGAGATAGATAGATAGATAGATAGATAGATAGCGATAGCTAGTTAGATAACAAGCTTGATAGAGACAGATAAAAATAGATAAATATATATATATATATATATATATAGATAGATAGATAGATAGATAGATAGATAAATGGAGCTAGCTAACAATGAGCAGATTGAAATATGTTGATAGGCGTAATTTGCTGAAGGAAGGAACGAAAGAAGAAATTCTAACGAATTCGTGGCAAAGCAAATAAAGTTAACTTCTTATAAAATTGTATTGTTCCGAATTTTTCTCGCATCCAATCAGAAAGGAAATACGGCCAGAGAATGAATGTCTGATCAAAGTAGACAAATTGAACAAAATCGAGCAAAAGTATCAATTTTTTTTTTAAATTCGAGCGAATTGTCGCCTCCTCCTAACAGAAAATGTAAGTATCAGGCAAAAAAAAAAAAAAAAATATTAATCATATTTTGATACTTGAACGCGCCTGGCTCCATAGAGCTTACTGTCTGTTCGAGCAAAATTTGTTAGGAAGAGTTATCTTTCTTGGAATTGAGTTTGACATTTTTACCTATTGTGTTACTGTTCTACAGTACCAATCATTCCGATTGAAACGCCTAATATAGTGCTATATTTAACAAAATCATTTCACAAATATAGTGAGTTTTTTCCTCAGTGACTCCTACTAGGGAAACTTTGCGTAGACCAAATTAAACTTAAGTGCTTGCAGCAAAACCATGATGAACTGGTATCATAGATCTCTTCAATGAATTGCCGATGTCATTGTCTGATGACGCCTGAAAAATGAGACGTAATAATTTATTTATTTCTAAATTATTATTATTATTTTCTTTAGCTCAGAGCCGTTTTTAATTGCATTGTAAAATTAAATATTTTCGTCAATTTCAAAAACCTGTATATATTAATTCTCTAATATTATATAAGGAATCTTATATATATATATATATATATATATATATATATATATATATATATATATATATATATATATATTGATGCATGTTTCATTAAATAATATAGACAAGTTGAGTCTATTTATTTTAAGTCAGTTCCTTTCATATTGTCTGATAAGCTTAATAACATTATCATTGAAAGACGAAAGGAAATCACCATATTGATACATGTTTAAATCCGATCTAAGCTTTCGGCTTACATAAGCCTATCAAAGATGACAATTACATTTCAATATATCAAACAATACACGGACGAAACAATAATGATAGTCTGTTTTGCTGCACGAAAAATTTCAAAGCAACGACAAACTCGTGTATACGAGAAAAGGAAGCGAAAATCGCATCGCAGTTCGTGACGTCAGACAAGACCATGCGAGAGTGAAAACGAGAGGTATTAAGTATGAGAAGCCGTTGGTATAAACCAATGGCTTCAGTTATCAATTATGGGCATTTAAGAATATTTGTGGAGATTTCGTAGTTTATTTTGTTCAGGTTAGGTTTCAACTGTTTTATGTATATAGCTTCAAGAATTTTTAGTTTTTGTTTATTGTTTTCAAGTTTAAGTATAGTTGTGTTTTCAACGAGGATTTTCCGGAATTGTGTTCGCGGCAAGGCATGTTGTTTTAAATGCCTAAAAATGTTGTCGTTATCATTCAAATGTAGAGTCAAGCTTCGTGAAAGCGAATTTGTTGTGGGACCAACATAAATATTATTTAATCCATTGGAGATACAATCTCCCAAAGGGCATTTGAATTTGTAAACTATGTTGGTTTTTTGCAAATCACTAACGGGGAGGGAGGAAGAATCATTGTGAATAATTAAGTTGGATATACTAGATTTAGTGTAGTATATGATTAACCTAATTTTTGGCTAGGATCTGTTGTAGATATATTAGTATTTACTAATTTTTTTTTTATTATATATATATATATATATATATATATATATATATATATATATATATATAAGTGATTATGTTGGGGATTTAGGCTAATCATATAGTAATTCGTCGAGCCTAGAATAATCTTCAACAGAATGCTGAAAGCAGAAAGCACTGGACGGCCGTTTCATCCTATCTGGGACTCATCAGCAGCGCGTATCCACTAATTTTCCTTGCGATAGATGCAGATATTGATTCAATGGAGTTGTTCAGTGAGGCCAAGAAAGACATATATATAAATTTTGTCCCCAAAATTTATTCACCTCAAGTAACAATAATGAGCTAGGTTATACCCTCACACACGTATATATATATATATATATATATATATATATATATATATATATATATATATATATATATATATGTAGCTAGATTACACCTCTCACAATATATATATATATATATACGTGTGTGAGGGTGTAATCTAGCTATATATATATAGAAATGCAGAAAAACTTTTTCTCGTTGATAAAGAAAACCAGACGACATGCGTTAAACGGGTGTCAAAATTCGTTGAAAAATGCACCTCTACCCTACCTAGATTTAACCTCTTTTTCGAACGTATCTCATAATAGATACAATAATAGTTAATAAAAACAAAAAATATGAATTGCATGTGCGTTTAAAACTCAGTAAATTTTAAAAATAAGTTATTCCAAAATTCGCTTGAAGATGAAACAGAACTAATACTTTTAATTTAATTATATAATGAAATGTTAAGATTTTGATTGGTTTTTGAAACACGGTAATTCCTGTGTAGCGAAGAATCCATATTTTAAATCAGTTAATCTATAATATTTATGCTCTTTAAATTTACATTGAGCACTGTTTTGTAAAAATAAAAATAAAATATCAGTATAAAACACTTTCGGATTATATATATATATTATATATATATATTTATATTTTATTACAATATATATATATATATAGAGAGAGAGAGAGAGAGAGAGGGATTAATTTGAATAAAATTTGTCACTTAGTTAACCGATGTTACCTTCAGCATCGCGACTCCAGAGTTTCGTAGACGGGCCTGTTCTCCCACGTTTCAGCGGGTCTCAGCAATTTACTGCTTATATATATAAAAATATTCTTTTTATACACATTTAACACTGGTGTAAATTTTCGACTATATTAATTATGTTTGTGTGTGCTATTGTCCGTGTGATATATATATATATATATATATATATATATATATATATATACATATATTCGTGGCGAAGTCTCCATGTATGCAATCCATACACTGCATAACATTTTTTATAATAAAAATAATTATTTTTACTATCCTTCTTACCCTCGTGACTTCAGCGTGTGTCAGCAATTTACTGCTTATATATATTAAAAAAATTATTTTTATACACATTTAGCACTGGTGTAAATTTTCTCTTGTATTCATTGTGTTTGTGCGTGCTTTTGTTCGCGTGATATATATAATTTTAATCGAGTTTGTTGTATTCAGATCGCACTAATGCTCTTGGGAAAAGCATGAATTCATTTCTTTTCCATCTGAGTTAAACGATAAATAGCAAGGTAAAGTGATTTCTCTAACCTTTGGGTGACATCCAGTTTAAAAGAAAGAGACAAATAATGGAGAAGGCAACGGGAAACCACTTCACTATCTTTCTCAATGAGTTATGGCAATTTACAGATAATAAACAAAAGCGAACCATGAACGGTTACGTTACCAAAGAAAATTGGCATTAATTGACATCCATATAATTACCTATGGATTTCGATCTATATATACTTGGAATTTAACCAATAAAAACAGTTTACTTACCTTAGTTTCTGCTGTCTCCTTCGATGATTCTGTTCGCGTACGCTGTTCGCATTCTCCGAACACACACACACACACACACACACACACACACACACACACACACACACACACACACACACACACACTCTCTCTCTCTCTCTCTCTCACACGTACTATCTAGCTTACAAACACGCACACACACGCATGACTAGATATTTGCTAAGCTTTAATTAGTTCAGCAGAAGATCAAATAAAGAAAAATTGGAATAGATGATTACGTTAAGTCAATCTTTCAATGAGATCCAGTCTGCCTTGAAAATCAGCATTTTAAATCCTAACTTTTAGACAGTGATAAGAAATGTGTGACAAAACACACAGAGACATTAATTTTTAAGCCATTAATGGATTTTTTAGTCAGGGATTATTTCTTATTGCTATAAAATTGTATATTTAGTGGTTACACGTGTTTTAGTAGACGTCCTTTTTATTTTTTCTAACAGTGTTTTTCGAGTGAAAATGAGGAATTCATGTTTGATTTCTGTCGGGAGACACATTTTCTTTAATAAGACTTCTCGATCTCTAGGCCGGTTGACATTAATTTCACTGTATAATAAAAGAAACAAAAAGTGGTATTTCAACTCAAACATATGTACCCACTAAATATGACGTTTTATAGTAATAAGAATTGTTATTGAAATTGGGTAAACGGAAATGTTTGGAAGCTATCAATGGTTGTGCTAGCACGAAGTCACAAGTCATCGTGACCGAGGGTGGGAACATACTGGCCTGGTTCAATCTGATGATCACACCAGATGATACGCTCACCCTTAGCAACTATAACAAATTTCCGTTTAGCATAGTTTCAGTCTAAACCATAGCTGAGTTCTATGGGTGTTGAACAAACATAAATCTGCGTGAAAAGGTGTCTGCGACTGGGATTGGTTAGCCGCCATAGCAGATAAGTTTGCTCGAAAAACGAGTGTAGCCGGCGATTATATATATATATTTGTCTGACGATCGCAAAAGCGTGAAACCCAGGGTTACAAACTCACATCAATCCAACCAAATATGTTAGCTCTATCTCTGATATTGAGCGCTTTCTAATAAGTACCGCGCATATAAAATATAAATAATAATAATAATAATAATAATAATAATAATATATATATATATATATATATATATATATTATACACACACTTTTCACACACACACACGCACATATATACATCTATAATTATTTATTCAAAAATTATAACATAAATATGTTATAAAATCACTATAAAAATAGCCATTTTGTTTCAACACTTCTGGT